TGTTTGGAAATATGTTTTCTAATTACGTTATCACAAGCATACTTGTTCTATTTGTTAGTGAGTTTTTTTGTGGATTAACTTTGACCTCTTTTTCATGATCCTTACTTATAAAAACTGGCATAATGTATTTTTCACCTACAATACAATCTTGCGTTATGTACCTCATTTTATGGATATGTAGTTAGGTGAGAATAAATCTCCGCAATAATAAGAACAATGGCTATTGTATTAAATTTATTAATGACAATACATTGTTAGGAGAATAAAATTGACCATATGTTTCTGCCATATACTTATGGCATTATTGCCAAGTAATTTATCAGTCCTTTATTCTGAACTAGTTTCTGCCAGCGGCTTCGCCCGCGATACCAGGGGGAAAATGCTAATGTATTACTTCACACCATACTCTACCTCTGTTCCGAATTTCATTCCGGTCCCTTCAGTCGTTTTAATATGACTGAGTAATAAACATACACAAACACATAAGCTCACATATTTTCACATTTATAATATCGAGTCAAGCTAATTTCAGGCATCGGCCCTACAGTTACAGCGTAAAGTCTATGGATGAGTATTGTAAACGTAAGAGTAAACAAATATAAGCAGAAAGCTCCGAACTGCTAAGCTATCGGGAGTTACACGTGTTATTGTAAGTCAACCATAAAAGATATACATGTGCTGTTGTGGGATATTATTTAGATAATTTTATGTAGAAAATTTCCGTCATACATGATTTCTATGTAGCTTTAACTATTAAGCCTGCACACGCGACGGAAGCTTAAAAAATGGAGTAACTTCTCCCGTTTTCCCAATATTTCCCTTCACTGCTCTGCTCCTATTGATCGTAGCGTAATGAAAAGTATACTATAACCTGCCCAAGAGTATGAAGAATAATTGTGCCAAATTTCGTTAAAATCCGCCGAGTAGTTTTTATTTCCATAATGAACATACAGACAGACAGACAGACAAAAATTTTACTGATTGCATTTTTGGCATCAGTAGCGATCCCTAACCACCCCTTGATAGTTATTTTTTAAATATATTTTATATACAGAATTGACCTCTCTACAGATTTATTATAAGTATAGATAGATTAACAATTGTAGAAATATTACAATGAAACTATTATAGTTAGAAAATGTCTCTTAACTCAGTTATAATTAATTTATCAGTCATTCCAAAGTTTCTAGGTGGCCGTAAAATTTTAATGTTAGTATGTGACACACACACAATATTTCTAATATTTTCCGAATGCAATGCATTATGTAGCGTAAAAAAATGCTTATAAATATAAAGAAATACTTACGTAAATATTTTGCAGCAGTATAGGCAACTTCGTCTGTGAACTTGCCGAATTTAACAGCATCGAAATTGTTATTTTTGCCGTTATAAACGAACATAAAAGACCCTGTGTCCATCCGTGAAATTATTGTTGATATACCTGAAATATTTAAACAGTTCTTGAGTCCCACATTCTCATCAAGAGCTCGCGAATTTGATTCCTGGGTCAGTAGCATGGCGTATGGCGTCTAAATTGCACTGTCCATATATTATTTTGCTCAAATAAGTAAGTTAGATAGAATTATTATCTGTTAGTTAATAGTGCCCTTTAAAAACTTACCACTCTTCAATTGTAGAATAGAATCATCATCAATATTGTATTTCTCCTGGAGGTTTCTCAAATTATTTTCAAATATAATTTCATCATAATTAGTTTGCGTTGATTTTTCTTGAGTGTAGATTGTTGTTTGATCTTTTAATATATAATATGTAAATGCAGCTATAACAACTAAGAATATTGGAAGAATAATGCTTCGTGATGTGTTTGTTGGCTGGGGTTGGGTTACTCCAGGATTTACTCTTGAAAAGGCAATCAACTTCTGTTGATGAGGTGACGATGGATCACGTTCTGAACTGATGTTACTTCTATTTTTTACGGATTGGTAACTCTTATCTTCTGCTCTTGATTTTGATAAAGAGTTGGAATAGCTACCTTCAACATCAGAATCATCACTGTAATGGAAATGTGACGGAAGTGTTGCAGGTAAAGATTTTGAAAGCACATTGCTGTAAACGAAACACATAATAGACTTCACAAAAGCTTTGTCACATATTTGCAAACAAATACTTGGATGAATGGAACCAGCCAGTGATGATGATGTGTTATGATTAGCAGCAATGTGATTTATAGGTTCGTTACGAGGACGCCACCCAAAAAATTGATAACTACAGTAACAAAAAATGCTTAGGTATTAGTTTTAAAATTTCTTGACATTAAAGGTACCTAAATAAAGTTAATGGTCAAATTAGACAAGTTTTTAGTAACAGCAATTAATTCAAGTTAGGAACATATTGGAGTTAAAATTAAATTAAATCGCTAAGTTGTTAACTCGTTGAGTACCGTCATTATAGACACAATTAAAGAACAATAGGTTGCGGTCATCAGTGACCGCTCGGTGTTTGACAGTTTAATACAGGTTTTTTTTAATATCTTACTTTGTACATGCTTAAAAACCGTCAGTTTGTAAAAGGTCTTATTCAAAATTTTTTTTTTCCAATATAAGTAATATTGAAAACACACAATACAAATATTAACACTGTCTAATGTCTATAATTGATCTCACACCATGAATAATTAATGAACAACATAGTTATGGTATTATTATTACGTGACAAGCTTGACGGATGTAGTAACAAGCTAATGCATAATAATATTGCCCTAATATAAAAACTCACAGAGTACTGTCATCTGAATTTGAGAAATCTCCAGTAGAATCCTGTGAATATGAATTCTTTCGATGTAACTTGTTCTTTCGTATTGATAGTGGACTTGTTTGACGAGCCATTTTGCTGTAAAAATATGTTAATTTGTTAACTGTTGTGAACAATTACAAACAATACCAACTAAAAGGATTTTATCGTAATGTTCAATGTGTATGAGTAAAACATAATATTGTATTTCCCATTTTACATTGTGTCTATTCAATGTTTTAATAGAAGAAGGAATATTTTAAAACAATTTTACCTTATTATAAATGAGAAAATTGAGAATTACAATATATAGTAAAAATATATATCTGAAATATTGCTTAACTCGTCGAATACCGGTTTTGTAGACACAATTATAGAACAATAGGTTGCGGTCACCGGTGACCGCTTGGTGTTTGACAGTTTAAAAAGCTAAGAAATTATAGAAAGAAGTATATTTCTATAGCAGTTACTTATCTTTTATTTTAATTCTGAATTGTAATAAGTTACAATACAGACAAAGACAGCTATTGTTAAATGAAATAAATAAATATAACAAATTGTCCATACCTCATTACATTGTCCACTTCATCCACTCCTTTGTCAACCGCATCTGGGCCAGTTTGGTTGTTAGATTTGTTTAGCCCATACCTGCCCATTGTTTCATTTGATCTTAACCTATCGTTTTTATAGCTATGAATACTCCTTCGAGCTGACGGCTTGATGATAACCCCCCCAGGTTTCTGTAAATGTATTATTATAACTATGCTTTCCGAATCTATCTAATCTTTGGTTCAATTACCTTTATACTTACCATTACTTTACTTACCATTACTTACCATTATCTTAGCAAAACGCACCCTTTATACAATATTATTATAAACGAGCAGTCAAAGTAATGAATGAAAAATTTGGCTTTCGTAACTGCGCTCATTACGGTGCAAGAGAACTGATTTACTTAGTCTGTAAAAATTAAATACTAAAAGACGTCTTACCCCTTCTGAAGAATCACTATTCATTTATTTGTTTGTACAACACACTTTCTAATAAAAGTAAATAGAACGATGTAAAATTGTAATGAAGTTTGACATGTCTAATACCCCCAAAACACAATCACATTCAGTTGCTTCAGTCAGTCCAGTCGCGCAGTCGCGCACACTGACACAATGATGTCAACAATGTCAAAATACGAATTTTGAGTTTACATCATAAATTGACGTTGATGGATTTCTATAAAATTGCCAGCACACGAAGTATCCTATCTTACTAATTACTTATAATGCGCACGTTTGTGAGTTTGTGTGTATGTTTGTAACTCAATCACGTCAAAACGGTTAAAGAATCGGGATGAAATTTGGAGCAAGGCTTTTTATCCCACGGGAACGCAGGAGCAGCCAAGGGCAAAAGCTAGTTTTTAATAATGAAAACCGTGTCATACGCATGTCTAGTACTTTGTCCTCTACCTACCCTTGTAAAAGTACCTATGACTTTTTCATTGACCACATTGGATTGCATGGTATAGTCGTCTAAGCGATTTTATGTAGGTATGTTGTCTACAAAATGTATTATGTACGTTACTTTCTCTATTTCTCTCTTATTTATTTCTTTATTTAGGTGGCAGCCAACAGTACCTACAGTTTCACCTACATAACACATTGGACAATCTAGGAATAACACATGGGCCATGGGCTATTTTTATTTTGTGAAAGCGAGTCAAACCCCTTGCAAAAATATAGTATTTGCATATTTAAAATATAAAGTTTCCTCATTTATCTTGAAAGTATAATATCATAGTACCAGTCCAATACTAACAGAAATAAATAGAAAAGCATTCTCCAAACAAAAAGGCTATTATTAATTCACAAAAAATTTACACGATTTTACAATAAAGGACAAATACTTCAATAAAGTGCAAAGACACACACAAATCCTGTAAAAATATGCGCAGGAGTTGACGTAATGATTTCTACTCTCGAACTTGTGAACTTATGAAGACCGTCGTTTAAAAGTGACCTTCTAACCGGTTGTCCCGGATAAGCCACCAGCGCAACTTGTTCTTGTTCATCATTCTTTTTTATTTTTTCATCTAGCCACGCCTTAAAAGCATAAGTCGGTAAAACATCAGCCATCCTTTTGTTTACAGCGTACGTGGATGACATTTCTTTTGAACATTCATCTTGACCTTTTATGACAATACCCATAAGCTCCTTATCATATAAAACTGGGCCACCAGTATCTTTGAAACACGTTGTTACCTTAGTTTCCACGCAGTCAAAATAGACTTTCAAAACGTCTGTTACTTCTTCTGGTGAACGGTTTTCCATGCCAACATACTGCAGCTCTTTCGTTTGTCCAACATCAGCGTTTAATCCAAATCCTATCCCTTCCAAGTCGAGGACATTGCGAGGATTAGTGTAATTGCTAAGAACTATTTTGGTTGCGATACTATTATTGTGTTTCTCCGTATACACAATACCAACGTCTTTTAGAGAGTCCGTTCCGGTAAAAGTGGGGAATCGTTCGGTTTTTGTCACGTGGAGGGACACAGTCGAGTCGTCTTTTTTATCAGTTGTTGTATTTAATAAAATGTAACTTAGTGGTTGTTGAGTACACTGCGCTGTTGTTAATATTAATCCATTGGCGACCACTACACCAGAACACAAGTATTCGTTTTGTTGAGACATTATAGCGGCCATGAATGGAAATTGCTGATGACCTGCCGCCAGTAACTCATGCATTTGACTATTTTGTCTTCTTGTGCACGTAATATTGTTGGGTTCACTTTCAACGGGAATGTCCAGGGATTCGTCTTTGGACTCATCGTTTGTTTCGCCGTTGTCATCTCTATTATCATCAACACTCTTTTTTACATTTTCACCAGCACACGTAGTAATAAAACCAAATGAAAATACAATGGGAATTAGAAAATGCAGAAAAATTGATCTAAACTTCATCATCAAAATTTGCTATTTTTTCCTAGAGGAATTCTAGTTCTTTTTTCGTATCTATCATGTCATGATTGTTTCTTTCTATTTCACGTTTTTTTCAAGCTGCCAGCAAAAAAATTAATTGTAGTTTCTTATCTGTGTATTACTCTGGTTTATTTACACGAACTGTTTCAAAATTAACCATTACATTGTTCAGTAAGTTCTAGCAAAAAATAGAACCTCGATGGTTATTGATTGGTCAGTAGTTACTTTATCCACACAACTTCTGATCACGAAGTCTCAGCCTCAGCCTGGTTTTCTTTTTGAGATGAAAAGAGCCTACGCACATTTACCCTGTTGGTAGATCCTACATGAAACTCATGCCAAATATGCTCAAACTCCCATGAAGGCAGGCAGAAAATTAGAAAGGGATAGTTTACTAGGTATGTATTATTTTATCATGTATGTGGTTTTGGACGTGCAACCATAACGTTAAAGAAGTACCTTTCATAATCCTGCTTTCGTCCGTTCTCTCAACTTGGGAAACTATTTTTGTGCTTTTTGTTATCTGAGTTATTAATTAAATGAAGCGGCAGGGAGTGTCCGATTCTTGATTTCAACTCTTGCCCTGTGTCGGGGCCACGGTTTACATATATTCTGATTGGCCCTATGGCTGGCTACGTGTGCTCGCAACCCGGATGGGTTACATAGCATACAACTGTAACTTATACTTTTTACACACTTTGTCTCTGTGTCATCTTTTATACTGAACAAGTGACTTTATCCAGTTATTCCTTACACTATCAGTCAAAGTAGCTTTTAAAGTAAAATCAGAAATATTTACAATCAGTGAATCAGTATTTTTAGTCATTGAGCCTGTTAGTCTCTCCCTATACGAAAGAATACGGTGGCTTTACCCTATGGGGCTACTGTATTTTTCTCTCCAGGTGGCATTCTCTCCAGGCGCTACTATGAATCTCTCGTTTTTCGTATTTGTTCGTATTTGACAGCGGCAATGATGGGACATGAAAACCTGTTGTTATATTTACGCCATCTGATGACCATAAATACGTAGCTCCCATTTTTTTTTATTATATAGCTAGCGTTACCTTACCATATTATTATTATGTATCTAGCGTTACCTTGAGACAAAAAAATCCTTACCGTACATGAAAAAAAATGTAACGTAATGGTTAATAAAAAATTGAGACTTGTCATGTGTGTCATGTTACGATGACAACAGACTACTGTCATCTGTCATTACCACACTTCAAAGTGCTTCAAAGGTTCACACTCGCACTCGCACATACAGACGAGTTGATGATTTTATTTTTCTAGTGAGTTGGCCGATTCTGTGAGAATTTTTGTTTTAAATTAACATTGGCATACATCACCAAAATGTCGAAAAAGAAGGGAAATAAGAAAAATCAAGATTTTGATGAGGATTTCGAGGAGAAAAAGACTATTACAAGTGATTCTCACGAGGTAACCTCTAAAAGCAAAGGAAAAGGGAAAAAGAAGGGTAAAAGCAGTGCAGGAGACTGGAGTGATAGTGATGAAGATGTTCCGAAGAAGGTGGTAGCATCTGATGACGAGGACGTTCCGAAACCAGCGGCTAAAAAATCACAAAAAAAAGGTACAGACTGGCATATGTTATAAAGTAGCTTCAATCTTTTACGATACTTATTTGTTATCTATTTTATAATATTTTATGTTTAGCAGTAAACTCACTTGTAAGTAATTTATATCGGTTTACTTATATTTTATTTAAACCAGTACTGTTATTACAGACTGTGTAAAATACATATATACAAGTCATATGAACTTTATGAAATGGATTTACAACTTACATTTTACAAAGCTGTTACTAAGAATTCCAACATAGTACTTAATTTTAAACTTTTATAGTATTATTACTCAATATTGTGTAATTTTAGCCAAGAACAAGAAGAAGGGTCATGACTCTGATGATGAACAGGATGATGCTAAATCAACAACGAGTAGTGCAACTAATGCTGCTTCTAAACCAGCAGCTAAAGGCAGTAAAAAGAAGAAAGGTAGGATATTGAAATTAATGTACATTTAAATTATCAGATCAGTAGCTACTCCTGTGCCATTTCACCTGCTCTGCTTGGTACATATTGATCCTAGCATGATGTTTTGCTGATACGGAACCGCGGAGAACTTAAAGGGTTACTGGGGCACCTGCTTGAAGTGCAGGAGTAAGAACAGGGTGGTGAGTCTGACACTCCCTCCTGCTTCACCCGGGCGGGAAAAGTCATTTGATGATTTTCCCCTGTTAGAAAGAAAAAGGGATGATTTTTTACCTTCCTTGATGAATGCAATATCCAATACAAAGAATTATGCAAATCGGTCCAGTAGTTCCAAAGATTAGTGCAATCAAACAAACATACTCTTCAACTTTGCATAATAGTATAAGATATAAGATACATGCATATTGTCACACCTATCTCCCCGATGCAGGCAGAGACAATGAATAAACAATATGATTTTTTTTTCTATCAAAAAGCAAAGGTTCACATAGGATAAATATTGTAATTGGTAATAATACACAACATTACTATTAAATAAAAAAAAATACAGGTACATATTATCATTATGAGCGAGAGATAAAAAGTAAGTAATACATACTGGCTGTACTATATTTTTAGCCAATTTCTTGATAAAGAAAAAGTAATTTAACAAAACATTTTGATTTAAACTTACTTTAGGTTTTAGTCATGTAGATACTAGAGAAGACACTACACAAAATTATAATTTAGTTATCCATTATGAAATTTTTTTATTTTGTAAGTGCAGTTTTAAACAGATTTCTTAACATACTGAGCATTTTGTGTTACTTGGCAATATATGATGTTTGTACTTATTTATATGTCATTAGGGCTATATTAATAATATTGGCAATTGGCATCATATCAAAATTTCCGCTTTGCCAATGAATTTTATAGAATGCATGTTTTCAGGCAAAGGTAAGAAAGACGATGAATGGTCTTCTGAAGGTAGCGATGTGGAGCTCAAAGAAGTATCAGAAGAAGAAATTGTAAAGCCTGTTAGTAAAAAGAAAAGTAAGTTTAAACCTTTATTTATTTATAGTTTGTTAAATGTAACATTGTAATGTATTCAAATACTTTTATTGCTATATTTAAGAACTTGTATGTGCCTTTTTAATTATAGAAGGGGTATATAACGAAGCAAACATGCAAATTGTGCACATAGTCAATTAAATTCACTTTTTATCTGTAACATTATGAGTTTTATATAGTAAGGGATTAGCTTATTCACAACTGGGTGTAATTATAACGTTTATGCTATTATTACTGTCATTTTCGGCACATTGAAAAATTTACAATAATACTTTGTTCCCCCGGAAATTGAATCTAAAACCGCGACCAAATGAGACAGTCAAATTTTAATAAACAATCATAATAAACTAGCGACCCGCCCCGGCTTCGCACGGGTGCAATATGTATATACAAACCTTCCTTAAGAATCACTCTATCTATTAAAAAAAACCGCATCAAAATCCGTTGCGTAGTTTTAAAGATCTAAGCATACATACGGACATACAGCGAAAGCGACTTTGTTTTATACTATGTATTGATACTGCATCTATTTATATTTTCTTCTTACTTTCAGCTAAAAATAAAAAGAAAAATATAGAGGCGGAATCTTCTGACGAAGAGGATCATGATGATTCTAAATCAGTAGTTAGCAATGTTTCTAGTAATCCAGCTAAACCAGCGTCTAAGTCAAAGAGCAAAAAAGGTTGGTATCAAACATTTTAAAGTGAAAATAAAAAAAATATCATTCAGCTTTTACTTCTACGAAAGAGGTAGGTCCAGCTGCCCATAAGTATTCATTATTATTTGTTCAATTTTCCATGTAGTAAACACTAGCTGTGCCCACAACTTCATCCGCATGGAGTATTGATTCACAGCTCCTCCCCCATAAGTGACAGCGTGATAATATGTAGCCTATATATGTTGCCTCGGCCTGTTACTAATATTCATATCAAATTTGAAGTTAATCCATGAAGTACTTTTTGAGTTTAGCCAGGATATACATATAGACAAAACTCTAAAAATTATATTTTTGTGTTTGATATCAATTTATTGTAGATCACTTGTAGGCCCAAGCGTTCTATAAAAAAATAATTAAGTGTACAGTTTTCATTTATATGTATATATGTATAGATGTGTGAGTTGGCGAAATAATAGTTTTAGGATAATAACTGTTTTTTTCTTTTTTTATCAATTTTTTCTAAATGCCATGACAATTGAACAAGAAGTCAAATTAAGTAAAAACGCGGGTTACTCACGTGAATATACTGAGAAAAGCTCTACTAGTTCGCGTACGCGGCGACGTCGCGCAGCTCAGTGAGTTGCGCGACGTCGCCGCGACCGCGCACGCTGCTCATGAGGAAGAACCCCTCTGTGGTTCGAAACTAGTAGAGCTTTTCTCAGTATATTCACGTGAGTAACCCGCGTTTTTACTTAATTTAGTATGTCTCACGATAGTTATTATAAAAACAAAGAAGTCAAATTGCTCTACTGTTATGCTTGCCACCACACATTACTTATACAAAGTACTCAAACAGTCCATAGAGTAAATATTTTAAGTTATAATTTTATTCATTTTTATTCCAGGTAAAGGAAAGAAAGAAGACTGGCCAGACGAAGAGAGTGATAAGGAATTAAAAATGGAACCTTCAGAGGATGAAGAAGTAATTGTTATCCCTGTAGCTAAGAGTAAAGGTAAAAAATCAATGAAATGCATGCTAATTTAGTTACTTCTTTAGATAGCTACTGGTTATCCAATAGTCCCATTATACAGGCTGGAGACAATAATGGACCATTGTTGGAGACTAATAATACAATATTGGCATTAAATTTATTGCCCTTTTTTAGGTAAAAATAAAAAGAAAAATAATATTGATGACATTGAGGCTGAGTTGAAGAAGTTTGAAATGAAAGACCCTGAGCCTGAACCAGTGGTGCCTGTTAAAACAAAGGTATGGGAGACAATAGTAATAACACACAAAATGTACACATTAAAATGCACTCTATTTCCACAGTAACTAAGTTTCCTATTCTTATATCTAATATTTGACTCATTTTATAGGATAAAACAAAGAAATCTAGTAAAAAGGAAGAAATAGTTGAACCAGAAGCGTCCCCTGATGAAGCTTCAATGGAGACTGAAGATAAAGTACCAGAGTTACCAGAGAAGGAGAAGGAGGAGCCGGCTGAGAAGAAAATGAGTCACAAAGAGAAGAAGAAGTTGAAGAAACAACAAGAGTATGAGAAACAGATGGAGTTGTTGACTAAGAAGGGAGGGCAGGGACACAGTGATCTAGATGCTAATTTCACTGTTAGTCAGGCGCAGAAAACTGCTGGTAAGTGCTTACTAATTATAATTTTTAAATATCTATGTATAACATAATAATCGGATAGCGAAGTGTTTCAGAACATGTAATTAGCGCCACTTATGTTTAAGCCTTATACTATGGGAGGCGAAGTTGAGTAAGAATTGAATTTATATTACTTTTCCTTACTCTAACATAGAACCCAAAATCTAAGACAAACTTGCTTGACAGTTAAGCTTGAGACTATTTAATCAACAGTTTAGTTTTTTAAAAATAACGCAAAAACATAATCCCGGATCCCTAACGGGTAACCGGGGCTCCGGCTCTACGTGCAGGAGAAGGAACAGGGTGGTTTTTAGTCAGTAAGAGTCTGACACTTCCTCCCGCCTCACCCAGGCGGGAGCAGTCATACGATGATTTTCCCACCTTAAAAAAAAAGCTACATTAACCTACAAACCTTTAAACAATAAAACCAACTGTAAATTACTATTTCAGGACAAATGGCAGCATTAGAAAACGCAGTGGACATAAAAGTCGAAAACTTTTCAATTAGTGCTAAGGGCAAAGATTTGTTTGTGAACGCTAACCTGTTGATCGCTAACGGTCGAAGGTACGGTCTAGTGGGCCCTAATGGTCATGGAAAGACCACGTTGTTG